TTTACATTTACTAATAATTTCTTAGATTAGTGCTTGCACACATAAAGTTTGAGTCAGATCACAGAAATACTGAAGTTAACTTTTGTAGTCACATTCCTTTCTTCAGACTTGGCTCAAAGCTACTTGTGATTAATTGGTGGCTGGTTTGATTCTCTTTCTAGAGAATTTTCCTTTGTGAGTTTATTCATTTAAAAGAAAGAGGCAAACAGGAAAGAAACACAAAAAGATGAATTCCATAAATATTTTTGAATACTAGCAGCATTATGGTAATTGATATATAGACTCCCACAGTTACTGCTTTGAAGGAGACAATGCTTTGGATGTGTAGGTTCTAATGTGTTTATTAAAAACTATCCATTTGTGGCTGGGCGCGGTGGCGCATGCCTGTAGTCCCAGCACTTTGGGAGGCCAGGGAGGGTGGATCACCTGTGGTCAGGAGTTTGAGACCAGCCTGGCCAACATGGTGAAACTTCGACTCTACTAAAAATACAAAAATCAGCTGGGCATGGTGGCGGGCGCCCCGTAATCCCAGCTACTCAGGAGGCTGAGGCAGGAGAATTGCTTGAACCCGGGAAGAGGAGGTTGCAGCGTCCTGAGATTGCACCACTGCACTTTAGCCTGGGCAACAGAGTGAGACTCCGTCTTAAAAAAAGGAAAACAAAACAGACAAACAAAACTATCCATTTGCCTTTGAGAGCTTTCCTTAAATTACCACTGTAGTTTGCATTGAGTAGCTGCTGTCACTTTGTAAATTACACTATATATAAGACAAAATTGATGTAATGAGAGGTAAATACAAATAATTCATAGTGTGTAGATAATAAAATTTGTTGAATCCATATAAATTTTATTTTGGGGGTTGTATTTGTACTGTCAAAGTGGAAAAAAGAGCAGCTAAACAAGTTGATAGTAAAAATAATACTATGAGGGGAGATGTTTAATATACTTAGGAGATTAGGTATAACTTGTATATACTCAGTTTAAAAAAAAAAAAAAGTCTTTCCTGTTCATTAAACAAGTCCTGCGCCTTATAAACAGTGTTGACTTGGCTAGAAAATATTACATAGAAATTCCATAAATAAGCAATTCTTAAGTTTTAAATTATATGCCATTCTTAGTAGCATGATGAAATCTTGCCCTGTCCTACCCAGGATGTGAATCTTTGTCCAGTGTCTCCATGTTTTGTAAGCTACCTTCCCGTTTAGTCACTTAGTAACCATCTCAGTTATCACAACTGACTGTTGCATTAGGGCATGCTTGTGTTCAGGTCACCCTTATTTTACTTAATAGCCCCAAAGCACCAGAGTGGTGATACTGGCAGTTCGGATATGCCAAAGAGAAGCTTGTGAAGTGCTTTCTTTAAGTGAAAAGGTGAAAGTTCTCAACTTAAGAAAAAAAAATCATATGCTGAGGTTACTAAGATCTGTGGTAAGAATCTTCTGTCTGTGAAATTATGAAGAAGGAAAAAGAATTCTTGCTAGTTTTGCTGTCGAACTTCAAACTGAAAATTACAGCCATAGTATGTGATAAGTGCTTAGTTAAGATGAAAAAGGCATTAAATTTGTCGTGAAAGACGTGAACAGAAACATGTTCTAGTTGACAGAAATCAAGTTTGATTTAATCTGAGGTTTCAGGCATCCACTGAGGTCTTGGAATATATCCCCTGCAGATGACGGGGGAATGTAATGTGTTTGCCATGATAATTGTAGAATGATATTTTTCAGTTCTTTTGCGCCGGTTATTAGAAGTTTGCTTAAATATAGCACAATGTAGTGGGTAATACGCTAGTTTAAGACTAGAGAAACAAGGCCGCATGCGGTGGCTCATGACTGTAATCCCAGCACTTTGAGAGTCCGAGGCCAGCTGATCACCTAAGGTCAGGAGTTCAAGACCAGCCTGACCAACATGGAGAAACCCTGTCTCTACTAAAAATACAAAATTAACTGGGTGTGGTGGCGCATGCCTGTAATCCCAGCTACTCGGGAGGCTGAGGCCGGAGGATCGCTTGAACCCGAGCAACAAGAGCGAAGCTCCATCTCACAAAAACAAACAAACAAAACGACTAGAGAAACAAGTTTCTGGATCACTGCCTATCAGCTATCTGACCTTAGAACTGGCCATTTTTTATTCTGATCCTTAGTTTCCCTATCAAGTTGATTGCAGACATTTATCTGTAAAAACTATTGTTCCACTCATGGACTGCACAAAAACATACGGTAGGCTTTTGTTCACCCATGTTTTAGAATATTAGGAACCTTTATAATCTAGTAGTTAGTGAAATTAGAGTTGTTTCTCATGCTTACAGTTATTTAGAGATATGTGGTATCAAAACACAGTGCTCTTTAAAATGTTTCACTTCCTCTGATATTCCTAGTGTATAATTTACTTAACTAGAATACCCTATTCTGGAATTATTTTATAAATGGGAATTCACCTTATACAAAAACTGCCAGCTCCTTTTCCCCTGCCTTGCCTTTTTCCTACCTTACTGGTTTGTAGTAGTATCTCAGCCTCTTAAATAATGATAATTTTTAAAAATGAAAAGTACTTAAATTATTTTATGACGGTTTAGGGCAGTCAGCATAGCATTTCTTCCTTATCCATACATATATTTTATTGTATTTATTTTTGACACGGAGTTTCATTCTGTCGCCCAGGCTGGAGTGTAGTGGTGTAATCTTGGCTCACTGCAACTTCCGCATCCTGGGTTCAAGCGATTCTTGTGCCTCAGCTTCCCAAGTAGCTGGGACTACAGGCGTGCACCACCACACCCGGCTAATACTTGTATTTTTAGTAGAGATGGGGTTTCACCATGTTGGCCAGGCTGGTCTCGAATTCCTGACCTCAGGTGATCGATGTGCCTCTGCTTCCCAAGGTGCTGGGATTATAGGTGTGAGCCACTGCACCCAGCCCACACATATATTTTAAAGTGATTTAGATTATTTTTGATTGTATCTGTTGGTGAACCGTGAAATCTTGGTAGCTGATATACAGAACTTAAATATCATTGTGAACCTTTATTAAAGTAGTATTTTAAATAGCTGCAGATAATATTTTTACACTGTCTCCCTTCTAGTTCTACCAGTGATAAAATGGAAAGGGGTTTGTTTCACAGAAAGCTAAACTGAAATACTGAACATCCAATGCCTGGCACACAGTAGGCAATGAGTAAATTTGTACGTATTGTATGAATAAGTTGTATGGATTGTGCGAATCAATTGTAGAAATTGTATAGCAAAGTGATTTGGCAAAGTCGCTTTTTAAAGAGTTTAATACAGTATCTGATACATGAAAGATGCTCAGTTAGTGATAGTGTTAAATAATAATATATAGGCCAGTGATTGTTTATCATACCCCAGTTTAGCACATTTTGTTCAGTTTCTCAGATACACCTATGTTATAGAGTGGTTAATAAACTAGCATCTGTAGTTAGATTACCTAATATTTATTGAAGCCTGATTAGCCATATGTCCAAGCCATGCAACCCTTGGGCAAGTTATTCAACCTCTCTTCCTCAATTTTCCAGTCTTTAAAATGAAGATATAATAGTACACACCTCATAGGATTGTTGCCAAACATAAATACATTAGTTGCATGTAAAGTGTAATAGTCGTGTAAAGTTTAGTATATGTAAAGTGTAGTAGTACTTGGCACACATTTGAAAACCTTTCTTCCAAATTTCAAGCAGATTTAGTCAATCAGTCAGATTCCCCAATATATAAATTAATTAATAAAGTTTTTTTTTTAAAGAGATGGAGTCTTACTCTGTCACCCAGGCTGGAGGATAGTGGTGTGATTTTGGCTCACTACAACCTCCACCTCCCAGGTTCAAGTGATTTTCCTGCCTCAACCTTCCGAGTAGCTGGGGTTATAGGCGCACACCACCATGCCTGGCTAATTTTTGTATTTTTAGTGGAGACGATGTTTCACCACGTTGGCCAGACTGGTCTCAAAGTCCTGACCTCAGGTGATCTGCCCACCTTGGCCTCCCAAAGTGCTGGGATTACAGGCATGAGCCACTGCGCTCAGCCAATTAAATTTAAGGTTCTTCTATTACAGGTAGGATTTGTCTAATTTATCTCATACCTTATAGTGTAAATAGTGAAAGTGAAAATTTCCCATTAAATTGAGCATGTGTATTTTATAGGGCCTTGTATAGTCATAAATAGAAAAAGTAGTTAAATATCAATGCACAAACATATTTAAGAAGTTATAGTTCTGGTCTGATAATCTCCCTGGGGTAATCTCAAGGTTGGTACATTGAGGTGTTTTTCCCCCTGTCCCGAAACATCTGCCATATATTTTGTGACTTCAATATATAGCATACACATTATTCTGTTGTGATTTTTTTTTTTTTTTTTTTTTTTGCTGGGAGGACAGGGTCTTGTTCCTGTGCCTAGGCTGGAGTGTAGTGGAGTCTAGTGGTTATAGCTCACTGTAACCTTTAACTCCTGGGCTCAAGGGACCTTCCTACCTCAACCCCCTGTTCCACATAGCTAGAACTGCAGGTGTACACCACCATGCCCAGCTGATTTACATTTTTTTTTTTGATTTTGTAGAGATGGGGTGTTTGTTGCCCAGGCTGATCTCAGACTCCTTGCCTCAAGTGATCCTCCTGCGTTGGTCTCCCAAAGCACTAGGATTACAGGCGTGAGCCACTGAACTTGGCCGTGTTCTTAATATTAATACTTCTACTTAATATAAATAGTTACTTGACAAAAAAGAAAATATTTTGAGAAAAGGAAATGTGTTGGGAATTAATAATCTATAACTTCACTTATCCTTGTGATTGTTAATGTGCCTATTCATATAGTTGTATATTATTTGTGTAAATTAAAAAATTTAGATGGAACAATTTTAGCACCTAATTTTTATTAAATTTGCATCCTTTCCAACTTTATGTAGAAGTTCCAAATGAGTTTATAAAAGTTATTATGAAATTACTCAGTCTTTTTGTTGTCAAGTTTTCTAATGTATGCTTCTTTTTTTTTCCCCCTCAGAGGAAATAAAAGCAGAAACTGAAAAACAGAGGTTTGTGGGATTTCTTTTCTTTAGTAAAAATAATTTTCAAACTTGTCAGTCTTGGTCAAAACAATACAGTCATCTGTATTTTAGTGTGGCAAATTTTCTGCATGTGAGTTTATAGTAAAATCAACTTTAAAAATAGGTTTTAAGAAATGCAGTTACATAAAAACAAACAAAATATATGATTATATTTCTTAAAACCTATTTTTATATATATTTATAAAAATGTATGCACGTGTTTTTTTGGAGACAGGGTCTCGCTCTGTTGCCCAGGCTGGAGTGCAGTGGTGTGATCACAGCTCGCTGCAACTTCCACTTCCCAGGCTCAAGTGATCCTCCCACCTCAGCCTGCCGAGTACCTGGGACTACAGGCGAGCACCACCATGCCTGTGTTAATTTTTTGTAGAGATGGGATTTTGCCATATTGCCCAGGCTGGTCTCGAACTTTTGGACTCAAGTGACCCACTCGCCTCGGCTTCCCAAAGTGTTGGGATTACACGCATGAGCCACCAGGCTCTGCTCTAAGCATACTTAAAAATACAAAAAGATTCTCATGTAAATAAGTATCTAAAGATACTTCTAAAATATCATAAGATAGCCTTCAGAATCTTTTTGTAGACTTTGATTCATATTTGAAAAAATTATTAGGTTTTTTGGTAGTGTTGACCTTTTTAGGGCAATATCGAATAACTAAAGAGCTCACTTTTTGACTTAAGGACAAATAGAAAGGCCATTGCTTTTTAAGGTATTATAATGCCAAATTTGTTAAGTGACAATAAAATATTTCTGTAATAGAAGCACCTTGAATTTCACAGTTTTTGTAGACCAGTTTTGCAGACAAGATTTCAGTGTCTTGTGTTCAGTCACAGCTCTGGACACTAGCTTTTGACCATGTGGCAAACCACTTCACTTCTCTGGGCTTGAGTTTCCTCTTGAAATATGGGAAGATAGACGACTGGTTTAGCAAGATTCCTTTTAGAACTGAAATTCTGTGTTTCTACATAGGTTTATCATCAGTATTATAAATGTGATATGCTATAATCAGACTTTTCTTTTTCATTTAGTCCTCCTCATGGAGAAGCAAAAGCTGGATCAAGCACCCTTCCACCAGTGAAATCAAAGACAAATTTTATTGAAGCAGACAAGTACTTCTTGCCTTTTGAGTTGGCATGCCAGTCCAAATGTCCCCGCATAGTTAGTACATCTCTAGATTGCTTACAGGTATGTGTAAAATGGCACTTTCTAAAAACTGTCTACTTTGAATGTGTTTCTAAAACATTATTCACGTTGATGATTCAGACATTTCCATGAAAGCTTTTAATACTCTTTTTTGTGATAAAAAATCCAAATGATTTTTTATATTTAAGACATAATAATAGTTGCAAAAAGACGTTTCTAGTTTAATGATAACAATCGTTAACTTAGTGGGATATAAAATCTTTAGTAAGATTATCAGTAATGGAAAGTGTTGATTTGGTCTCTTCTCATCAGTGAAATGCAAGATCCGTAATACTTTTAACCTGCTGCCGACTTTACATACATCACCATTTGCAAATAATTTTTCTAAGTGCTGTTTTTTTGTTTGTTTGTTTGTTTACTTTTTTGAGATGGAGGCTTGCTCTGTCACCTGGGCTGGAGTGCAGTGGCGTAATCTTGGCTCACTGTGACTTCTGCCCCCGTGTTCAAGCAATTCTCCTGCCCTAGACTTCCAAGTAGCTGGGAATACAGGCGTGTGTAACCACGCCAAGCTGATTTTTTTTTTGTTTGTTTTGTTTTGTTTTGTTTTTGAAGAGACAGTTTCACCATGTTGGCCAGACTGGTCTTGAACTCCTGACCTTAAGTGATCCACCTGCCTTGGCCTCCCAAAGTGCTGGGATTACAGGTGTGAGCCACTGTGCCTGGCAGTGTGTCTGCTGTTTTATATGAAGCAATAGGTTAATATTGGCAGCTTAATATAATTTAATATTTAACTGCTATACTTTAGCTCTGGCAGTCATTTATGTCAGAAAAATTTCTGAACTCTGTTACCTTGTTTGACACATAGACAGAGGATCCTCATAGATATTATATTTGTAAGACAAGTTTCTAAGTAGGGGAATACTTCCCTTTTCAGGTGTTCTCACTATTTGGGCATTATATGTATTCAACTATAATTAAGTGGCTAGGAAAAGACCATATGATTTGTCCTTAAGGCTAGGTTAAAGTTAAGTTCATCTGATTTGTGATCTTGTTTTTACTGGAAAATTAGAATGATAATATCTGAAGCCTTCCTTCCAGGGTATACTGATAATGATGAATGAACAAATCTATGATTTATTTCAGCTAGTATATGGAAACTGGGTTTTATATATATTGATGAATCATTTGGAAAGAGATTGGGGGTCATTTAAAAGCATGAAGATAATTTTCACAAAAGCAGTATCAGTAAAACCTTGTTTATATGGAAAGCAATAAGCAATTTTTTTTTTTGTTTTTTTTTGAGACAGGGTCTCACTATCACCTAGGTTGGAGTGCAGTGGCACAATCTCGGCTTACTGCAACCTCCACCTCCCAAGGCTCAAGCAGTCCTCTCATCTCAGCCTCCTGAGTAGCTGGGACTATAGGCATGTACCACCACACCCAGCTAATTTTTTATTTTTTGTAGAGATGTGTTTTCCCCATGTTGCTCAGGCTGGCCTCGAACTCCTAAGCTCAAGCAGTCCGCCCAATGTGGACTGGCAGTGTGGGAGGCAAGCAGGCCTCCCATTGTGCTGGGATTACAGGCATGAGCCACTGCACCCAGCCACAGTAAGCAATTCTAACTCATCAGAGACAGGTTCTCAAGGCGTGGCTTTCTCAAAATATTACCTGATGGTTTATTGTGGTTCTGTTTTTGTGGTTATTACAAGTATAAATACATATTTATATGAATAAAGTTTCTACAGAAAAAGTTGGTATAGCTTTGGCTTTGATAATACCTATGTATTTTTATGTAAAAATTTTTATATATATTCAATTGTATACTGTAATTTTAATGTATATTGCATTAGTATATATAATATTTGTTACTTAGGATCTTTGTTTTCTTTCTCCGTTTTAGAAACTTATTGCTTATGGGCACTTGACTGGCAATGCTCCAGATAGTACAACACCAGGCAAAAAATTAATTGATAGAATTATTGAAACAATATGTGGCTGCTTTCAGGGCCCTCAGACAGATGAAGGAGTTCAGCTGCAGATAATAAAGGTAATTATTATATAAAGTAAAATTGTTATTAATAATCTGTATCTTCAAAATTCAGATGCCTTTCACCTTAAAATATTAGGAAAGATCATTTTATGTGCATTCCAGCTATAATACAGGTTATTTGAGGCCGTGCGCAGTGGCTCATGCCTATAATCCCAGCACTTTGGGAGGCCAAGTTGGGCGGATCACTTGAGGTCAGGAGTTTGAGAGCAGTCTGGCCAACATGGTGAAATCCCCGTGTCTACTAAAAATACCAGGAAAATTAGCTGGGCATAGTGGTGGGCACCTGTAGTCCCAGCTACTCAGGAGGCTGAGGCAAGAGAATCGTTTGAACCTGGGAGGTGGAGGTTGCAGTGAGCTGAGATCATGCCACTGTACTCCAGCCTGGGCAACAGAGTGAAACTCAGTCTCAAGAAAAAAAAAAAAGAGGTTATTTGGATGCTTTCTAGACTCCGTATTAGGAGATTTTAATGTTGTATGCCAAGAGTTTGTTAGAGGAAAACTATGTTCTCATATCTCTTCTTTTGAAGATCTCAGTTTAGGCTTAGCCCCCAGAGTCTTCCAGAGCTTTTCTGTTTCTGTCATGTTTTTCATGTATATTCCATCCATCAAACTTCAGGGTGGTTCTTAAAGCTGTGACCCTTCTAGTTTCTTCTGTACTATTGGACCCTTCATAGGGTGTCCTCTCAACTCATGAATCACTAGATGGACACTACTTGTCTGCCAACTCTCCTGATATCCTTGCATGCATCCGTCTATTGAACTTACTCGGCAAAACCCTGTTCTGAGTTTGTGCTGTAGTGTACCTGTTTGATTGAATTCCTTTGGGGAAAAATTAGTAATGTTTTCATTCTGTTACAGATACTGAGTTCTTAATGTTATTGCTAATGGTAATGGTGTGTTTTTATGGCAGTAAAATTTTCATGTGCTATATATAGTACAGTACTTTTGAAATTGTTTTTATATATATATATATATATATGAAGGGTTCTTTCATGTGTGAATACAGCCCTTTTGGAGCCTTTCAGTTTTATAGTGGTGTTTCTTCAGAAGCCATATAATATTTTTGTTCTAAAAAAAAATACTGGGCATGGTAGCTCATGCCTGTAATCCCAGCACTTTGGGAGACCAAGGCAAGAAGGTCGCCTGATCCCAGAAGTTCAAGACCAGTCTGGGCAGCACAGCAAGACCCTGTCTCTACAAAAAATAATTTAAAAATTAGCCACATGTGGTGATGTGTGCCTGTGGTCCCAGCTACTCAGGAGGCTGAAGTGGGAGGATCACTTGAGCCCAGGAATTGAGGCTTCAGTGAGCCGTGTTCACTGCACTGCACTTCAGGCTTGGCAACAGAGTGAGATCCTGTCTCAAAAAAGAAAAAAAAACAACAAAACGGGTTGATCATTTTGACCTATCATGTATAGTTTCATATCATTTATGGTTTAAGATAATGCCCATTAATGCTAATTCTGCATAGCATTGTACAACATAAAGAAGACAAAAGAGTCTTTGCTCTTGAGAAATTGGAAGTAACCCAATATGTGAAAATTCACATAGGCGAAATTTGTTCATTTTATTGAAGTATTTGCCTTAGGAATTTGCTTTTTAATTTGGGACAGTCACACTCTGTTGCCCAGGCTAAGTGCTGTGGCATGATCACAGCTCACTGTAGCCTTGACCTCCCTGGCTCAAATGATCCTCCCATCTCAGCCTTCCAAGTAGGTGGGGCCACAGGTATATGCCACTTATGCCCAGCTTCTTTAGGATTATTTTACATGCTTTATTCTAAAACATTTATAAACCTCTTCAACAATAACAACACCACCACAATTACTGAGTTCAGTCTGTTAAAAAAGATCTCGGAAAAATGTAGAGGCAAATAAGACACAATGTGTATCTTCCCAAGTTGGTGGTCTAGTTCAACAGATATCTCATGTGACATATCTGTGCTCTACTGTAACAGCTTTCATGCTGTGCATTTTAGTAAATTAAATAGTATTTTCATTAAAATGAAACCTTGGTTGAAACAAATCAGTTAAATGGTTTTCAGATTATGTGGAAACTACTGCCACAGTGAGGAAAACATCAAATATTTTAACAGTTGATGATATATTCAAGGCCAGTAGAAATTCTGTGTATACTACCTGCAAGTGGTAATTGTTTCTGAAAGTTTTCATTGTAATATGAAAATGCTTAATTTTTGTGCTGAAACTCTAGATGCAGAAAACCACTTTAAGGCTGGGTGTGGTGGCTCATGCCTGTAACCCCAGTACTTTGGGAGGCTGAGGTGGGAGGCTTGCATGAAGCCAGGAGTTCGAGACCAGTCTGGGCAACAAAGAGAGACTACATCTCTACAGAAAAATAAAACAAAATTAGTCAGGTGTGGTGGTGCTTACCTGTAATCCTACAGCTGGCTGTGGTGGTACTCACCTGTAGCAGCTACTCAGGAGGCTGCTGTGAGAGGATCACTTAAGCCCAGGAGTTCAAGGCTGCAGTGAGCTATGATCACACTACTGCACTCCAGCCTGGGTGACAGAGCGAGAAAGACTGTCTCCAAAAAAAAGAAAAAGAAAATCTCTTTAACTTTGTCCTTTTTTTTTTCTTCTTCTTAAAGGCTTTACTTACTGCAGTAACATCACAACACATAGAAATTCATGAAGGGACTGTACTGCAAGCTGTGAGAACATGTTACAATATCTACTTAGCAAGCAAAAATCTCATCAATCAGACAACAGCCAAAGCTACTCTCACTCAGATGCTAAATGTTATCTTTGCACGCATGGAAAACCAAGCAGTAAGTATTTTAAAAAGGGAGAGATTGTATAGAACACAACAGGCATTAAATATAGAAAGGAGTTTACAGTAATTAGAGTGAAATCTTTGTACCTGTAGAAAAGAATGTCTTTTATTTACAGTTCCACTTACTGGAGATTTGTGGTATTGTGTTTTATTTTGTTTTAAGGTTTACTGATTTAACTTTGGACAACGTATTTTTAGTTGTTCACAAATAGAATGTGAAATATACTGATTGCCATCTTCCTTGTGGAAGTAATTATGAATTACTACTTCTATTGCATTCAAACTTAGTAGAGTGTAATGTAGATATAAAATAATTTAATCTAATCTGAAATAAAATTATTAATTAAGCCTTAAAAAAGTACATTTCTGTACTTTTGAAATATTCTGTACTTTTGAAATGAAATGCATGTTTCCCCCCATATGATAAAGGGGCATGATATTCCTTATACCTTAAACTGCTTCAGGTTGATTGTTAAGAGGTCAGCAACTAGAGAATTGCTTTTAATTACCTAGGTCTTCACTATTAAAAATTCACACCAAGCTTCTTATTTTGAACTCTTTTTAAACATAGAGAAAAATTGCAAAAGTTTTGCAGAGAAATCCCTTTTACCCTTCACCCTGCTTCGCTTAATGCAGTTAACTTACATACCTACATAGTACAATTATCAAAAGCAGAATTAACACTGGTACAATACTGTTAACTAAACTACAGACCCTGCTTGAATTTCACCAATTTTCCCACTAATGTTTTAAGATTTGACCCAGGATCCCACATTGCGTTTAGTATGCATTTAGTTCTATGTCTTAGTCTTCTCCAGTATGTGACAGTTCCTCAACTTTTCGTTATCTTTTTCATGATCTTGCCATTTTTAAAAGGATACTAATAATTTATTTTGTTGAATTTTCCTCAGTTTACTTTCTCTTATGTTTTCTCATGATTAGAATGAGGTTGTGCAGTTTTTTGCCAGAATATCTGTTGTGTCCTTTTCAGTGCGTTTTGTCAGGAGTTCATGGTGTTGGTATATCTTAATGTTGGTTATGTTAACCTTGATCACTTGGTTAAGGTAGTTATCTGTCAGGTTCCTCCACTATGAAGTTAGTAGTTTTTCTTTTGCAATTAATAAATGTCTTTGGGGAGATATTTTAAGACTGTACAAATACTCTGTTTCTCCTCAGATCCTCCCCCCACTTCCCTCAGTTTTGATATCTATCAGTAGGTCTTGTTGGCAACAGTTAATTATTGTGGCATTTCCCTAATGATTTTCCTGTTTCTCTCTTTACTTCTGTATTTATTAACTGAATTTCTTCTCCCTTAATTATTTATTCAATTATTTATATCAGTCTGTAGTCACAGATATTTATTTTATGGTTGTAATGTGTGCTACCGTTACTTATTTTGTTGCCCAAATTATTACAGTTTTGGCCCTGTGTCCTTGTGACTAGCTCCCATCCTTTTTTGAGTACTTCCATAATTTCTGGATTCTCAAGATGTTCCAGGCTCATTTTGAATTTTCCCAGCTTCAACCTTGGAATCAACCACTTCAATAAGGAGCAGCTCTAGCTCTTTTTTTTGATTGGAGAATGGTGTTTAGAAACCAAAATCTGAGTGCTAGATGTATTCATTGTCACTCTGTGTTATTGCTTCTAGGCCTCTCAGCAGATAGAGTTAGGAAATGTGTATTTATGTACTATCCCTTCTGTCCCACTCAATTCCCACACCTGTATGTGAGTTTCCATATGTTGGTAATAAAACCATGTGTTCATAGTGATATTTCTGATTCCAGTGCAACAATACAGGGTTCATTTCAGTCTTCTCCCTTTATTTGTAAACTTCTTTCTCTAAACAATAAGAAATATGGTTTTTATATTCTAAATACATTGATTATTCAATCCTTTATACCTATTAGTTTTAGAATTGCTGATCATTACCAGTGTTAGAAGCAAATTTACTAAGTAGGTTATAGCATTTCAGGTTTTTTTGTCTTTAGCCTTATCCATTCAAAATATTATTTTCTAGTTACTTAGATTAGTTTCCTTTCTTCCTCACACTCTGCAATAGGGTAATACTATTCCTTTGTGATAATAGTTGGACTCATTTGTTACTCTCTGCTTTTCATTTTTGGTATTTGTCACATTCTGGTTAGTTTTAATTACAGTCATCTCTCAGTATTATTCATGGGGAATTGGTTCCAGGGCCCTCCCATGGATACCAAAATCCATGGATACTCAAGTCTGTTTTATAAAATGGTGTAATACTTGCATATAATCTACACACATCCTCTGTATACTTTAAATCATCTCTAGATTACTTACAATACCTAATACTTTGTAAACAGTTGTTATACTGTATTGTTTAGGGAATAATGACCAAAAAAACAAGTTGTCTGTACATGTTTGTTCAGTACAGACACAGCCATTCTTTCCCTCCGCCATCAGTATTTTCAATTCTTGGTTGGTTGAATCCACAGCTGTAGAACCCATGGATACAGAGGGCGAACTGTATTTACTTATTTTTTAGGTATGTAAAACATTACTGCAATTTAAGAGTCAGAGCTGTACAAAAGGTCTACTCAGAAAAGTACTAATTCCCCCTAATTCCTACCACTGCATTCCTCTTCTTCCCTTCTTTCCACCCCTTGAGTGTAAGACAGAAGCCACATGTCTACCTTATAATCAGAAGTGGTCACACAGGTACATTGTGGAAAGGGACTACACAAGGGAGTGAAATTGAGAGGTGGACCTCATCGGTGACCATCTTGAAAACTAGCTATCTCACATGCTATACATTCTCTTTTGTATTTTGCTATCATTGAACAGTATGTCCTAGAAAGCATTTTATATCAGTCCTTAAAGACCTTCCTCACTCTTTTTTATAGATGTATGGTACTTTAGCATATAGTATAGTCTTTTATATATAGTCACTCTCCTCTGTAGTGGCATTAATTTATTTCTAATATTTTGCAGCCACAAACAGTGGTTTTGTTGCTTTTTTTGGAGGACGTAAATAAAATATTTTTGTCACTTTTTAATAACAAAGTTTTATTGGTTTGATTTGATTAACAGACTTTTATTAAGTTCCTTATATGTTCCTGGCACTGTGCTAGGTCTCACTTATACAGTGACGAGCAAAACTGACTTGACTATTACCTTTGAAGATCTTACGAACATTTGAGGCAAAGAGTTTCCCTTAAACAACTATAGAACTGAATTATGGTAAAGGCTATGAACATGTATTGTGTTACAAAGGGTATTTAGTTCTGTGCTGTGGATAATTATAGAAAAGGTGGAAAAGAGGGAGAGAAAGTAAGGGAAAATGGGATACAGATGACTTAACTTCCACATTTGCTAAAATCTTCTAAGCTAGACGTTGAATTCTTTGATACTAACTACTGGTAACCTTAATTTTTCCCTTCCCCCACAAAATAAAACTCCCCACAAAACAAATCTTGTCAGACTTTATTATTAAAATCTTTTAATTCAAGCTTACTTTATAAATTCATATAATTCTGGCATTTCCACCTAACCTGGAATATTACTGGAGAATGTGAATTGTTCATATTTGGTACTCTATAAGATTTATCTTGGTGGAAATGAATTCTGTGAGACTCATTCTTATCTGGTCTTAAGGACCAAAAGAGATGTGTGAAAAGCAATAAAGTGCTAAAAAATGAAATCTTGTGATCCCAACTGTTAATGTTTTTAACATTTTATGAGCCAGTTTTACAGATAGTATTATATACATAATAATGACAGTTTTTCTAAAATAAAATTCAGACATTTGTAGATACAGTGTTTTTCATAATTATTAGATGACTGGGTAGAGTGATTTAAGCCTTCATTGTAATTCTATTAAATGTAATTTTAATATTTTTTTATTAAAAGATATTTGACAAGGTGACATAAGAACATGCTCCAGAAGGATAAACACTGACAAGTTCCCTCCCACTCTGGTTTCCCGTTTTATTATTTCCTAATCTCGACCCTCTATAGGTAACCGTTACTACCAGCTTCTTATATATTTTTATAGACTTTCATTCTGTATGTATAAGCAAAAGTGAATATGTGTGTGTTTCACACAAATATGAAATGCAGTGAAAATGCTTTATAGTGAAAGTCTTTCATCTCTGTTCTTATGTGCTGATTTCTAGCCACCTAAGAAGTAAACATTGTTCATTGTTTTTAGTATAGTTTATCTTCTCCATTTCTGATAAACTTTAATTTCCAAGCATAGAGAGAATGGCACTTTATAGAAATGATTGTTGGAGGTAACATTATTCTTCCAAATTTTAAACAGCTTATTTTACTAATACTGGAAATTTTATTTATTTCCAGTTACAGGAAGCAAAACAAATGGAAAAAGAAAGGCATCGGCAGCAGCAGCATCTGTTACAGTCTCCAGTAAGCCATCATGAGCCTGAATCACCTCAACTTAGATATTTGCCACCTCAGACTGTTGATCACATATCCCAAGAACACGAAAGGGACCTTGACCTCCATACAAATGATGTAGATAAAAGTCTTCAGGATGACACAGAACCTGAAAATGGATCTGATATTTCCAGTGCAGAAAATGAACAGACTGAAGCTGATCAGGCAACTGCAGCTGAAAGTAATCTTCTTGAAAAGGGGGTTTGGGGTGTATGTTAAGGGAAATGTGTAGGGATGAGAGTTTTGATGAAGAAATGTTGAAAGGATAATATGATTTAATGTCTGTCAGACACATTGTGGTAATTGTGGACTTTCGTCATTGTAGGTGGTAAAGTTAATTTGACTCTACCCTACAAGGTATCTATGAATGATACTTTGCATTTATTAGCATCTCATGAGCAGTATGATTTATAGATTTCCTTTGGAGCTCAGATATATTTCTAAAGAGGGTCATAAATGTCCATTGAATGTTATATAGGAATTTCAGTTTTCTTACGATTGGTTTCATAGCAAACAAGTGACCTAGTAAAGTTTTCTGGAATATGACTGAAAATTTTAAAAAATCATTACCAGTTTTAAAAATATGATTATGGTCATAAAAAGTACTGAAATTAAATATAAAAAAGTTTTTGAGTAACCAACTGATAGACAAAAATTTTCGTTTTTAAAATCATGATGCATAGTAATCACTAAAATTTAGATGTTCTCTGATTTTTTAAGTGTATATTTATAAGAAAATGCTTATAAGATTATAAAAATTATATTTAGCTTACAAATTTGTTTCTCTGTAAAAATAATCCCATGAAGTTATTGTTTTCCTAAATGTTATTTTCAGCTTCAGCTGTTGTGTGAAACTACCAGAGAATTTGTGTTGTTCCCTTTGCCCTTCCTTAGCTTGATGTCATTTTTAAATGATGAGAATTCTGTTGCCTCTCCAGTGTGATTGTCTAGAACTAGCATGTTAGGAGTCAGTTACAATTTATCTGAAGTCTGTGTTTTTACTTTGAGGAAGGACTTCTATAATATGTTTTCAGCTCTTCTTTTCTTTTTTTTTAAACCATGCCTTTTCCAAAACTTACTAGTGGCATGAATATGTGCCTTTTTACATTTTACCCCCAGTCTTCTGAGAAGCATGCATTTAAAAATAGTACTTCACTATTTGTTTTAAAAAGGATGACTTTGATAAGCTAAGCATTCACAGTACTGAATCTAATAGTGAATCCATACCGCTTAAATGATTTACATTTGTCTAGCCTACCCTTGCCAAAATTTCCCCTGCTTTCACAGTGAGCTTATAAATGGGCAAATTCAAAGGGCTAATCTCTAAAAAAGCTGGGACTTTATTATTTTGTTTATCTGTGTATTTAGCAAACCTTCATTGAGCATACTGTGTCTTAGGCACCATGCCAGGACTTGAGGTTAAAAAGATGATGGAGATACAGCCACTGCTTTTAGTGTGATCTTAGCATACCTGGAAGTCGAGCATAAATGAGGTATAATATGTGATAGGTGTCCTAAAAATGCCATGCACGAAGTAATTCTGCTGAGAAGAGTTAGGAAATTTCTTTGTAGGAAAGTTAATGATATTTTAGTTGAATCTTGATAGATGGGGGTAGGAAATTTTCCATCCAAGGAAACAACATGGACTAAGACCCAAGGAATGGGAGCATCTGCTGTGTATGAGGTACCGCTGTAGATGCCTTGTAGAATACAGAGTTAGAAAGACATAGTTTCCTGTGGGATTGTCATGATTATTTTGGCTCTAAAGATGTTTTTTCCCCAATAACTGATATAAATGAAAATTCTGCTTGACAGCCATTGGTTCAGAGTGCGTTTTTGGAGCACATCTCTGTCACTTACCAGCTGCATGACTTTGGACATAGTAGTTCTAAGCACTTCCTACATGTAACAAGTATTAGTCACTATTATTCTGTTCTATTTCTTTCAGATACTTATGTGAAAATTGACTCTTCACTAGTCATTTTGTACATTTTTAGATAGTGGTTATGTATATTTAGTTACTTTGAAACTTGAGTTTTCAGACTTGAGGTAATTTTAGCCAACTAGAGCGTGGAAATAAAACAAGAATGGCAGAAGAATTGTCTTTCAAGACATTTATGTTTTTATTCACAGAAGTCTCCAAATGCTATTTTTATTTGGATATTTTATAAAATAAGGTTGCTCATTTACATGCATATTTATCTGGTTTTCTCTTTTCCTTTCAGTATTTTTAGGATACTACGGACAGTAAATTAGCAAAAGTGAAATTATAGGGAGGACAGGCACCTAGAAGCCACTATTATAAGTAGTGGTCCTTTTTTTCCCCTTTTTTCCTTTTTTTTTTTTCTTGGATACAGGGTCTTGCTCTGTCACCCAAACTGAAATGCAGTGACACAATCATGGGTCATTGCTTGCTTCCCGGGCGCAAGCGATCCTCCTGTCTCAGCCTTCCAAGTAGCTAAGACTATAGGCAGATGTCACCATACGCAGCTAATATTTATTTTTTTTTGTAGCAACTGGGTGTCAATGTGTTGCCCAGGCTAGTCTTGAACTCCTGGGCTCAAGTGATCCACCCAGCCTCCCAAAGTGCTGGGATTACAGGTGTGACCCCTGTGCTCAGCTGTAGTGGTCCTTTATGGTAGTGGGAAGGTTCAAGAAGTTGAAACTGCAGCACAACCAGCTAATATGCTGTCTGATGCCCTTTGGTGTAGGACGGTAGCTCAAGACAGCGTTTTGAATCCCAAAGCATTCTAAAGTGATAGTTGAGCTGCTTTGACATATTTTCAACATTTTAAAAAGCCCAGTGGAATTACTGTTTTTCTCTGCAATAGACTGTGCAAGCTATCCAGAACATCAGATTTCATCAGTTTCCTCTTACGCTGTTCAGAAGTTCGATTGGCAGTTACCTGTTGGTGTTTTGTTTCTGTTTGTTTGGTTTTTTTTTTACATTAAATTGGACAATGAATTCTTTTTTAGCTTCTTAAATTTAGTTTTACATTAGATATGTAGATTCTGTTGGTGAAAAAATAGGAAGGGCCAGAAAGTATTGGGGAAGGCCCAGATGCTTCTTCAGGGACCTCACCATAGAGTACAATGTTGCTATTACTATTGATGAGCCTAAGTAATCAAAACAAGCTTTAATTACCTTTTTTTTTTTTTTTTTTTTTTTTGAGACAGAGTTTTGCTGTGTCTCCCAGGTTGGAGTACAGTGGTGCAATCTCAGCTCATTCCAGCCTCTGCCTCCTGAGTTCAAGCAGTTCTCCTGCTTCAGCCTCCTGAGTAGCTGGGATTACAGGCGTGTGCCACCACACCCGGCTAATTTTTGTATTTTTAGTAGAGATGGGGTTTCACCATGTTGGCCAGGCTGGTCTCCAACTCCCCACCTCAGGTGATCCACCCACCTTGGCCTCCCAAATTGCTGAAATTACAGGCATGAGCCACTATACCCAGCCTAATTACATTCAGTATATTTGATAAGGGATAGTGTAATGTGTGTACTAAGTATAAGTAAGCATCTGTAGGACATGTTAGAAATGTTTCATTTAAAATGCTTTTTAAAGTTTTGGTTCTTAAAGGACTAATTTAGAAAATTCAGTTAAGTGTAATAATGTAATAGCTTGTCAAATGAATCATTATTGAAATTGACTTGAATTTGGAAAATAAATTAAGTTTTGGTATAAATTTTGAAGGTTTAACATATAATTGCTTCAGGCCGGGCACGGTGGCTCAAGCCTGTAATCCCAGCACTTTGGGAGGCCGAGACGGGCGGATCATGAGGTCAGGAGATTGAGACCATCCTGGCTGACACGGTGAAACCCTGTCTCTACTAAAAAATACAAAAAACTAGCCAGGCGAGGTGGCGGGCGCCTGTAGTCCCAGCTACTCGGGAGGCTGAGGCAAGAGAATGGCGTGAACCCGGGAGGCGGAGCTTGCAGTGAGCCGAGATCTGGCCACTGCACTCCAGCCTGGGCAGCAGAGCAAGACTCCGTCTCAAAAAAAAAAAAAAAAACATATAATTGCTTCTAATTTCATGTCATTTATTTGATGTTTTTTCTTTTATTCCTCATGGTTTAGGAGTTTTTCATCGTAAATGTTTAGTAAAAAGCTTCCAAAAAGTTAAAATAATATTCTGTTGAATTTTTCTTCTTTTAAAGCATTATCTAAAAATGACATGTTATATGATGGAGAAAACCATGATTGTGAGGAAAAGCCACAAGACATTGTACAGAACATTGTAGAAGAAATGGTGAACATTGTTGTTGGAGGTAGTATACTTCATTCAAAATTATTTTATTCTGTCTATGGGATTTCATCTGACTGTGGAGACTTTGTAATGTGTAGAATATAAAGGGCAAAATTAAAACGTTTGGAGCCAACCAATGGAAAGTTATAAATTCCACATTTAGGATTTTGGCCTTGATTCTAGAACAAATGGGTTAATATGGAAGATTTTAGCACTGAGAAATGAAATGACCAGAACTATCCTTTAAGAAACTATGTCTGGAAATAGGAATTCCCAGTAGGAGACCAGCACAGTATTCAAAGCCTGGATAGGACAGAAACTGTGGAAATGGAGACAAAAATATGGATAAGTGGTATAATGGCTATTGAATCAAGAAGACTTTGTAACTGATTAAGTAGGTAAAGAAGAGAAAATAAAATGTGTCAGAGGCCCTCAGGATTACCCCAGGGTTTGGTGTTTTCACTGGAAGCTGTCACAGGACCCAGCGTATAGTTGTACTCACTGCATGATTTATTAGTGAAAAAGTACAAAACAGAATCATCAATAGGAAGAGGTAAATGGGATGAAGCCTGGAGAGAATCAGGTACCTACTCCAAATATCTTCTCTCGGTGAAGCCATGCAGGATGCTCTTAATTCAAATTGTGAAGTGTTGTCTACCAGGGAAGCTCATTAGAAACTCAGGGCCCAAGGTTTTTATTGGCGGCTGTTATGTAGGCACCTAGCATGTACCAAAATTCCAGGCTACCAGAAGGAAGGTTAGTGTTCAGCATAAATTACACTCTTTGTACAGTTTAGACATAGCCACTTTTATCAGTCCTGGGAATAGTGGGATCCCTCCCAAAATATAAGTTTCCAGGTGCCAGCCAAAGTCCAGTCTTGCAAGTAGGCCTTTCTAAGGATAGGCAGTCTCTGGCCTGCTATGTTACCTCTTTTCTGCACAGGTAGTGTTTCAGTTTTTGAGCCTAAATGGATAGGTGGATGGTGATACTATTGGTAGAATTGAATCATCTTGGAAGATAAGTCACTTGGGAAAAAAGGCACTTATTTACTTTTGGTATACTGAATTTGACCTTCAGGTTGGCCATCCGTGTGGAAATGATTATGAAATACATAATGGAAAATAAAACTCTGGCTCAAGAGTTTTCAAGGCAGGTACTATAGATGGGAGTCATTCTGTTAAAATTAATAGTGAAGCCATGAGACTACCAAGTGGGAAATGGTAGAGATTAAAGAAGAGACCATGATTTGAAGCGTATTAATTTAAAATATATATTTAAAAAATAAAAAAAATAGAGAAGAAGAAATAGCAGTACATGCCCCCTGCATTCTTTAAACATGTATAGTTAAGGAGTTGGCACGTTATGGCCTGTGGGCCATATTCAACCTGCTACCTATTTTTGTATGTAAAGTAATACTGTGACGCAGCCATGCTTATTTGTTTTCATACTGCCTATAGAGAGGTCTTCTGTTGCACTACATAGGTAAAGTTGAATAGTTCCAGTAGAGATTGTATGACCTCTAAAGCCTAAAATGTTTGTCATCTGACCCTTTATTTAAAAAAATTCACCAGCACCTAACAGAATGCAGAGTCTGAAGTGAAAGTTTTCATTTTTCTGCAACCTTTTACTTAGGAAAAACGTTAAACCCAGAGAAAAGTTCAAAAAAAGGTACAGGAAACACCTGTCCTTTATCTGAATTCACTGATGGTTAACGATTTTGCTATGTTTGCTTTATGTATCTTTAAATACACATATACATAATGTATGTGTCTTTGCTGAACCATTTGAAAATCGGTTGTATACATCATGACATTTCACCCCTAAATACCTCACAGCGTATATCTTCTCCAAATAAGAGCATTCTCATACATAAGCACAATTCCATTTTCATACCTAGGGAAATTAACGTGATTTCAGGAATGTCTAATATACGTATATTTTTCAATGTTCCAAGTTTTCTCAAAATGTGTCCCTTATATCCTTTCTTTTCTTTTCTAAATCCAGAACTCAACCTGGGTACACTCTCATTTGCTTATCTGTCTCTTTAGTTTAGAACAAATCCTCTTGATTTTTCTCCCCAACTTTCATGACATTTACTTTTTTGAAGAATCTTTTGCCTTGTAGAATATTTCAAATTTTGTATTTATTGGATGGTTTCTTTACCATCCTGTATGAGTAGATTGAGATTGTCATCTACATGATTAGATTAAGCATATTTGGCAAAAATACTGCATAGGTGATATTAGTACTTAATATTACATCATATAAATTGGTACATAATGACAGGTTACCGCCCTGTTGGTGGTAGTGTTGGATCATTTGGTTAAGATGGTAATTATCAGCTATCTGTAAAGGAACTTTTTCATTTTGTGATTAATAGCTAATCTGAGGTGATACTTGGATACTTTGAGACCATATGAAAATTTATTCACCCAGTATTTTTTTGTTTGTTTGTTTTCCCCCCAAGATGAGGTCTTGCTCTGTCACCCAGGCTGGGGTGTAGTGGTACAGTCTTGGCTTACTACACCCTCGACCTCTTGGGCTCAAGCAGTCCTCCTGTCTTGGTCTCCTGAGTAGCTGAGTCTATAGTTACACACCACCATGCCCAGCTAGTTTTTGTATTTTTTTGTAGAGATGGAGTCCTGCTTCTGTTGTCCGGGCTGCACTTGAACTCCTGACCTCAAGTGATTCTCCCACCTCAGCCTCCCTGAGTGCTGGGATTACAGGTGTGAACCACACACCTGGCCCACTCAATGGTTTTAGCACCCATTTGATGATCCTTGCCTTACTCAGATATTGGGTTGCAATATAGCAATTTTCTAATTCTTAACATTCATTGACATTTTTCTATAGAGAAGAACTCTCCCACCCTGCCCCACCCACCCCCCTTTAAAAAATAATACCATGGGCTTAATGAATTCTTTTATTATTTTATGTGTTATAATCCTGTATCATTATTATTTTTATTTTTTGTCTGCCAGTAGGAATCCCTTCAAGCTAACACCCACGTTCTTTTGATGTGATTCCATTAGTCTTTGAGCTTTTCCTTTATGTTTGGAACAGAAAGATGTTCCAGGTTCACCTTCAACTTCCCTTTTCCTCAGCCCTGGAATCAGCTAGTTCTCCAAAGAGTCTTTGTCCTTTTTAGTGGGCAGTTGTTCTTAGAAACCAAGAATTGGTTACAAGATGCTCTTGTTGTTGGCTGCTGAGATGTCCTTACTTATAGGCCCTTCCAATGGATAGAGATAAGGAAACGTATATACAATTAGTCTTAAGTTCCTATTTGTAGTTCTACTTCACATCCATTGCCACAAGGTTTCTCCTCATCTTTCTGTACTTCCTGTTTGTATCTTCTGTTTCTTACAGTGAAAACCCAGATTCTCAACAGGATGCCATTACCACCAGCAAACCTATAAAGTTCAAGATTTCTCTGTAATTATATGTATCCTTAAATATATCCTATTAAAGATGAGTGAGAGTACTATTTTGAAAAAGTTACTTGTATTATTATATTGGTTCATTTTTTAAAATATGAAGAATATTTACATGATTCAAAGTCAAAATTACATAAAATGCTTACTTGGAGAACTCCTCCATCAGCTCCTTCCTTCTCTGATCCTCCTTTTATGGGTAATCACTTTCACTAGCTTTTAGTTTTTCTCTGGAGTTTAGGAGGTTGTGCCTACATGTCTGCTTGTATGTAAGAGATGTAAGCAAAGGAGTATTTTTTATTTCCCTTTCTCACATTTTTTGTTAGAGTACTGCATCTATGTGTGTGTTGCTTTTTTTCACCTAACATATATTAGAAATGGTTCTATTTCAGTTGATAGAGATTTTCTTCTTTTCTGTCACGGCTTTCTGCATGGTACTACCTTACGCAGATATATCATAGTTTATTCAGCCAGCCCCCTGTTGTACTTAGGTTGTTTCCAGTGTTTTGCTGTTAAAAATAATGCTGCAGTGAATAACTTTGTACATCTGTATTGTTTCATATTTATGGAAGTTTATCTTCAGGGCAAATTCCTAGAAATGAGATTATTGGGTCAAATGGTAAATGAATATGAATATCTGTTAGCTATTGCTAAATTCGTCTTTATAGGTGTTGTGTCATTTTGCACTCTTACCATTAATGTATAAGAGTGCCTTTTTCTCCACAGCTGGTAGTACTAAAAAATTTTGAGTTTTTACCAACCTGATAGGTGAGAAATGTATCTCCGTTTGGTTTTAATGTGCATTTCTCTGACTATGAGTGAAATTAGACGTCTTTTCATACCTATAGGATCATTTGTATATCTTTGAGTGAGTCATTTATTCATGTCTTCTGTTCATTTTTCCATCAGATTTTTATCCTTTTCCCCTTAAGAATCTTTTATGTATTAGGATTCTGTGATATATTTTACAGATATTTTCTCTCAGTTTATTGTTTGCCCAAGTCTTTTGATCTTATTATGGTGTTTCTTGCTGTACATAATTTTTTAAATATTTTTTCACACATGCCTGCATGTATGTTATATATGTTTAAGATAAATGGGAATATACTGTACTTATAGTTTGATAATCTGCCTTTTTCACATATTAAACTATATCCATTCACATCCATTTGTATTTCATCCTATCACTGGACCATAATTTATTTAAATAATCTGCTGTTAATACTAGGATTTAGATGATTTCCAGGTTTTTGCTTTTTATAAACATTGCTGTGATACACATTCTTACTATAGACATCTGTTTGCACTTTTGGATAAATTATAAAGAAGGAATAGCTTGATCAAGGTGTATAAATATTTAAAAATTTGTATATAGTGCTATAATGTCACTGTAATGATGGTATTTATTGTATTGTTTTAATTTTCATTTGATTATTTGCAGGGTCAAAACATAGGCAATTATTTTTATAGGTCAAACATTGGCAATTTTGTATATTTCGACTGAACATCATTGGACTACTTATCCTTTTTTGAATTGCTATTCTTGTCTTTCGCATATTTTTCCTTGTCTTTCTTTTGTTCTTATTTTCAA